AAATATTTCTATCGACAATTTGTCGGAATGATGAGAAACAACAACAATAATAAATATTTGATATACGTTGTCATTGATTTGAATTGTTTGATTTAACATTTATAACGTTTACTACATTGTTCACATCAAAAGCAATTGTTCATATTATTTAAATAATTAGAAATTTGAAAAATTTATAATGAATGGTAGGTAGATAAATAATACAATTCATCCTAACGTGTTATGTATCGTATGACCGTGTTGTAAGAAAGCAAAGGCGAATTTCACTTAAGTCTTCAATTGAATTACGTAAAAAAAGAAAGAAATAGATTCTATTGCATGATAACCAATATTAATAACATACTGTATATTAATTTTTCAGTACAGTACAGTATAAAAATTATTGTAAATTGATACTTGTTTATAAGATCTGTACTAGAAGAATGCAAATAATATAAATTTTCTTAAATATTCTGTTATTATCAAGAATAAATTATTGACTGAGATTAGTTAGATATAAGATGAAACAATGTAAGGGTCTCTATTAATAAAATATAAGGGTCGTGAGAAAAATATTTGTTATATGATATAACAAAGGTTTCTTATATTTCGATTCAACTTTGGCAAAATATGTAATAACATCATTAGTTTACAAAATCGAAAAGACTGCGTATTAAATATATAAATGCAAAATTTATACTTACTTTAAACATGAGATTTTTATTTAGATATATTATTTAACTATTTGAAAGATACTGTAAATGTTTTAAACGTATTGATGATTAATAAATAAATCAAATAATTAAAACTTTCCAGATCTTCTTCCTGTACAGTAATTCATTTTATTCTTGTTAAGAAATTTTGCATACTTTTTGCTTTAATTTATTATAACATTTTAAATAGTATCTTCCTAGTTTTATGTATACTAGAATAATAATAATAATAATCCTATGTATTAGGAATATATCGGATTAAACTATTAATAACAATTCATTTAATAAATTCTATTAATTTAGACTTTATGCACTTATTTAAATATACAGAAACATATATTAAACTTTTCACTTTTACAGCTTTGTTTATAGGCTATATATATATATAAATTTATCCGTTGCTGAAAATAAAATCAAGAAAAAACCCTTTGGACATCCTATATTTTAAATTACATGCAATGATTTAAGATATCATTTATGAATGTTTATTTTTAAAATGTTGTTTTGTATTTATTTCACATGTGCAGTTTATCTTGTTAAAAGTGAGGTTAATTTGACTTTTAACCCTCTTGTTTACAATAAAAAGACGCCCTAACTTGTTAGCAGATTTGTTTACCATTTCTATAGATAACCCCTTTTTTAAAAAAAATATATCTATTTCACCTCTGTTGCCATCTAATTTCTCCTATTTAAAAATTTCAAATGTTGCTCAATCTGTTCCTATTTAATGATACGTTTATCTTCTAATTATAAATGGAAACTACGCAAACCTTTTTTACGCCATACCTTACCGAATCAGTTAAAAGAATTCTTTACTAGATTTCTATACTATTAATCTGTTTTATCTGAGCGTGGATACAAACGTAATTGCATTACGTCCATAGAGTAAGATAATCAACGTTCGAATTGTCCTTGAAAATTCTTTATTGCGATAAAGATTGTTGCATTTAACATCATTCGATTTTCGTCAAAAGTCGATACTGTATATGGTCGATATGCTATTTTTTTATTTTTTATTTTTTTCATAATTATCTTTCCAAAAGTTGAGGGGTGAGTTCAATGCACCTTTCTGTATTCTCATCGAGATTTTATATCTGCGAAGTATTGTTATCTGATGTTTATTGGTTACTATTATCCGATTTCATGGCAAGAAATGCGAGGTCGTTCACAGCTCGTTGTCCTTTGCTTAATCACATGTCATTGAACAGTGTATTGATTATCGATTAATTTCTATTGATCCTTATATTGATTGCCCTCCTCTTCTATATAAATTTCTCTTTAAATCTATTTGACAGATTGGTTTTACTATTAAACCCATTTACTATAATAAGGATTATCGAATACATCTTCCTTTATGAGAACTTTAACAATTCTAACATTTTTCTTCAATTACATAAAGATTTTATGTAATTAAATTAAGAACACGTGATCGATTTAAAATAATAATAATCTTATTACTGTGAAATCTCTGAACAATGGCTACTGACGGGAACGTAAAATATGACCGTTGTTTGGTTTTTGAAAAAAAATGGCCGCCGTCTAGAGATGAAATTCGACTGTATATACATTTTTCCAGAAAATTATAAAATAATTTAATTTTCTTTTTACAATATACAGTCAAATTTCTTAATTTTCTAACTTACTCATACAGAATCTACATTACAGAAAAGAATTTAAAACGGTAAAGCACTGTACTTTCTAATAAAAATTATATAGCTCTACTGTATATATTAACCAACTGTATCATTATCCTTTTATTGTATATAAACCGAACTGCACTCAACAGCTTAATTCATAAAAATATTACCGAAAAATCCATAAAATCTAAGCCGCTGTAACAATCAACCACATGTGTACGGATCGATATAAATATATGCATCTTCTATATAATAATAACAGAATAAAAAAAAATCGAATTAAAATATACTATTATTATTTGAAAAAGAATTTTGCAAACCAAGCATTTCCTGACATAAGCAAAAATTGCTTTCGAATTATTGATTTTTTCCCTTCTTAACAAATAATACACATAAAAAATTCTTCACCTTTCACAAGAGAAATCGCATAGAATGTGATTTCCATTATGAACAATCTATTAGATTATAAGCTTAAAATATATATATATATATATATTTTTAATAATGAAAAAGACAAAAATCGACAAATGATGTCGATAAGTTTTTTAAAATTAAAGAATAACAACTTTTTTCAAAATGTAAAAAAATGTCTACCGTGTTTCCCCGAAAATAAGACAGTGTCTTATATTAATTTTTGCTCTGAAAAAGGGCCTATGTCTTATTTTCAGGGAATGTCTTATTTTTTCCAGGAAGAAGGATTCACATTCGTTATTGAACAAAAAAAAACTCCTAAGTCGAACTTAGACAAGAGTGACGTACATCCGGTGTGTCGAACTGTCGCCTTTTTATAGCGTCAGCATCAGACTCGATGACCAATTAGTGCTTACTGAACTGTAGCACTATGCAAATGTCATTTCGCGTGATTCCCGGCCGACCAATTAGCCATCACTAGCTGTAACGTTATGCAAATCTGTGATTCCCAAGCCATAGTCTTATGCAAATCATGC